AGAAGATAAATTCCATATCCGAGATGTCCTTACATTATTCTGTTCATCATGTAAACAAGTACCATGTATATATTGTTGATCTCTTCTTGCTATAATTTTCATATTTAGGACGGACCATTAGAACTAACCGGAGGTAGGGTGACAATTCCCCCAAAAAAATTCCTGCAAGGGAAGCTTGTCTACAAAAAAAATCCTGCGAGCGGTGAAACGTAAAAAAAAATTCTTGCAGAGGAAGCGACATGCACGGTAGCATTTAAGGTTATTGAAAGTATGGGATAAGGGGGGGAAAGGTAACATAAAACAGTGCCTAAAGATATAAAGAGAATTGAAATTCTTAATTTGTGCTTCTGCAGTACTTTTATTTGAAAACAACTGTTTGACATTTCTTCATACAACAAAACATAAATAATAATGGCTGGCTTACTACACAGTCGTCATTACCCCTGAGGATATTAATTGCTGTCACAAATAATTATACTATAAAATCTCTCTCTTCAGATGTAAAATGTATTTCAAAATGTTTTTGATAGAACATTAACTGTAATAAAAGAAATATAACATTTTCTCAACTATACTAAACCTGGAAATTTTCCACAATAAATAACAGTATAATTTTGCGTTGATATACACTAACAACCATCAAAACCACAGAACGTATTGGATGCATTGAAGTGCCTCTGTTTCGATATATTTGAATAATAACAATCTATATTATGATTCAATTGTATAATGGAAATTCCCAATAAGAAATATCTGACAGTGTGATTTTGGTTTTAATAAGAAATAGTAACAATAGTCAAAATAACAAAATATACTGGATCAAGTGAAGTGCTATTGCTTTTTATTAATAACTAGTGATATTCTGGCTCAATTCTGAAGTGGAAATTTCCACCAGTAAATAACAGTACATTATTATCTGTTTCCGAAACAGTAACGACTGACAAAACAACAAAATATGTACACCATATTCCAAAATGGCAGGTATTCTTTTGTCCTATAACATGTTAATTGGGCCTCAATGCCATGTTTCAAGGTACCCGGGTAGTAGTCTCTCTCTCTCAGTTATTTCGGCAGATGCAATTGAGCGCCTAATTATTGTTAATGAAAAGGTAATCTTGCTACTATTTTGGGATAAGCTATATTGCACAAACTGTAGTGCAACTGCTCTTTCGTAAATTAAAATAACAATCCATGAGATATATATTTCGGATGGAGTAAGGGAAGGCCTCGAAAAACGGTTAGCAGCAAATGTTTACAAGTAATATCGAGACAAAGTAATTTTGAGGGACTTGAAAAATGCCTTAAGAAACAAAATTTAAAAAAACAACAACAATAACAACAAAAAACAACTTCAAAGCAGTTGTCAACGCTTTGAGACGCAAGAGAACATGGTGAAAGAAAAGTTTGGAAGAAACTGTTTACAAGTATCAAAAACAAAGAAGGAAAGAAGATCAGCGTTGGTGACTGGGAAAATGCCTTAACTGGGTAACAGTAAAAACAAAAATTGAGCCAAAGCTTGGGCCTCAGAAAAAAAAACTTCTGCAGACAAGTGGGCTTAAAAAAATTCACGCAAATTCATGCATTCTAATGGTCCGTTCCTAAATTTGAGCAAACGTACAATGGATGACAAGCGTCGCGGCCGATTTTAAAGGCGGCGTTGTCATAGTAACATTTGTGTGTTGATAACACAAGCAAAATTATCGTATTTTAAAGTGTGTGCAGATAAAGTTTTTCTCAGTGACAGAAATCCTTGTAAAGCACCGTAGTTTGGCTTTTACTCAAAGTTTTTTTTGTTTCCTGACCTGCTTGAATGAATCACTTCATTATTCGTGAAAATGTCCGGTAAGTGGGACTGGTGATTATAATTCCATATCTTTGCTTTGCTGAGTCACAAATTTGATGTTTCAAAGTGCAATATTCAAGCTCCATTATCTTATTTTACTGATGCTGCCAAGCGGATTACACTAATGGACCAAAAAAAACAAGCTGAAATTCACTGCAAATTGTAGACAAACTTAAAGCAAGGGACACACATACACCAACTCACGGCCTGGCCAGTACCTGACTTGTGCGCACAGCCATATCACCCGGGCAGTGGCAGCCATGGGCAGCTGTTTTGCCCTTATTGGGGCTCATCAGCATGGCATAGCCGTCAGGTTTCGCCCTTTCATAGACCCGACTCTCTTAGAGGGTGACCTGGAATCTAGTTTAACACATGTTAAGCCAATCGCCTATCACATAACCCATCAAGGCTACAACCTCGTTCCCAGGTTCTCTCTCCTACCCGTCGGGACGGGTAGGAGAGAGAACACTGGGAACGAGATTGCAAGGCTACCGGTCAAAAAGCGTATGAAATGCAAAATCAAACAAACTGTTTGATTACTGAGTCAGTTATGACTAAAATAGCCATTACGCCATGCTTTATAGCATCTTAAAGACTTGAAACGTTCATTCGTTTAACGCCCCCAGTTATAGAGGGTAGCATAAATTGAACTATAGCTCACAAAACCTTCGTTGACAAATAATATTATGCTTTGAGTTCGTGATCGATATACTGACTACATTTACAAATACAGGAAAAGGAGAGCCAAAAAATATAGACCTACAAATCGAGCCGTTTAATCATTCTTTACTTCAGGGGCACCCAACGAGAATGTACTTCAAAACCACTTAAACTAGCACCGTTGAACGTATTTTGGTATTTAAACGGTAGATATAGGCATATTTTTATCCCCTAAAAATTTTTCATCTGTTCGAATTTCCTAGCTGAAAGTCTAATGATTCGAAAATTATAGGGATCAAAACTTACCCTTTCGAAATTTTCAGGCAGAAAAAGGCTCCCGAAAATTCTAGGTGACAACAAATGTTCCGAAAATTCTAGATCTCAAATCGTCTTTCGAACAGATATTTTTCCGAAAATTGACGTTGGGTGCCCCTGATTATCAACCTTATCTGGATAAAATGTCTTTAATATCGTTGTATACAAGCCCGTTATAATTTCCACACGTATCGAGAAAATGACATTTTAGAATTAATGAAAGTTGATAACTATCTCAGTGTAAACACGTTGACAATATTTGTTTTAACCTCTGTGTGCAATGTTCTCAAATTAGTATATAAAAACGACAACTTTTTCGCAATGCAAACATCTTCCGAAAAAGCTAAGGCGTAGGTTATTTTAGAGCTAAAATCATACTTAATTTTCTAATAATAGATTTTCACTAAAAGTTCTACAAAAAAATTGTATTTAAAGCATCCTGATAAAAAAGTATTGAAATTGAAATTAGCTTTTTTGTTGCTGTGATACTCTAAATTTATGTGAGAAATGTCATACGTAGTTTTTAATTAGGCTGGTTGGGTTCACGTATGTTATTAGCCGAGTAAAGATCACGTATTCTGATTTCTTCACAGGTTTTGAAGACGTTTATCTTCAGAGCTTCTTAACATTAACTCCCTGAGCATAGCAAGTGGAAAGCAAAGTGCGCTTGAGTGTTTACTGCTTGATTATGGGAAACGACATTTCACATGTACACGTTCCTTCAATCCGCAACATTAGAAACAAGAAGCCTGTCAAACTTCCAGCCAAAGGTTAATAGAAAAATTGTTCTCTTTTAACGCTTTTTTTCCCTTAAAGGTAATTTTAATACTTCTTCGGGAACACTAGTATAGTCACCTCTCGCCTCGCGGACACCCCGCTAATAATACGGACAGCGGCTAAATCCCGGGCAAAACTATATTACAGACTTTGACTGAAAAAAACTCGGCCCGCTGCTACGGACTCTCACGAATGAGGACACCAACTGGAGGTCCCTATAGTGTCCGCTTTAAAAGGAGCTGACTGTATTACTCGCTCTTTAGGGCACATAAAATGTTAACTGATTTTTGTATCATGTTAATATTCTGATGATATACGCTGTAGCAAAATGTTGTAGGTATCCGATTGTGATGAACACAATATGTCAAGCCTTATTTCAAGCTAGAATTGTGCATTTTAGCCAAAAATATATCATCCTGTCAGAAGAATAAATTTTGTAGAATGCTATACAAACGAATTTCACTCAATATCGCTTATCAAGTTTTATTGAATTGAAACTCCTCATTTAATCTTAGAGATGAACAGGCATTTTACATTTTATGCTTGTTGACTCAGCGTTCTCTTTTCAAAGCGTAAGCTATTGGACGGAGGACGATTTACAGATAAAATGAAAAAACGATTCTAAAGAAAGCAAATTAAACTGTTTTAATGCTAATAACTGTTCCTTTTTATCTTAAACTTCAAATTTATTTTTAAACAGCTGTCGACGTTTTATTCTATAGCTTTTTCGTGTTTTTTTTCCCTTTACGAACAATACTCTTTTAGTTAATAACGACTTTAAAAAGACCGCCTTTACGACGATTTAATACTATTGCGACAGTTCGTAATTTCTTCCTGGAGTGATAAAGATCTTTCTTCCTTCCCCAAATCGCGCACCTGTGTCATGATGTCATGGAGACCGCTAACGTCTGCTACACACTACACCCACGACCTAACAAGTACCAGCTAAAAATAGCCGCAATTTCAGTCCATTCTTTTATGCCCTTGACCTTATACACAGTTTTAAGAGATCTTCCTTCGCTAGTTATCGCAAAGGAAGACATCAGTTTGATGAGAGGAATAAGGGAGGGCCCCTGGGGAGGGCAAATAGGTTCAACATCTGGCGCCAACTAACAACAGCGGTTGCCCGGGGTCTCTAACGTTCTTCCTACATTGAGACAAATTGTCAGGTGAGCCGTCGGAAATTACGTGACTTAAAAGTGACCCTCAAAAGATGACTTAGTAAGCTTGCCTACAATAAGTGTTCTCTTTTTTACGCTAAGGTTTCATTAGTTCAGTAGCATAGATCTTCTTGTCGAATATCACCCTAATGGCTCTTTCGCATTCTGTTTTTGTTTTATTTTAAGAGAATCTTAAGGTTTGATGGTTGAACGGCCTTCTTCACATCGTAAATTAATTTTTTTTCCTAGATGCCTGTGAGTTTGAAATCCCCAAGCGCTATGATCCTGATGAACGACGTGACTCAAACCATTCCAATAACAAGATTGCCATCCAAGAAATAGACGCTGCCATTTATTCTAATCCAGACATCATTGATGACTTGGCCGTTCCAGCTCCCGAGCCTCCCCCCCTGGGGTCACTGATGTTCGAGGTTCGTTACGAAAAATACGAAGAACAGTTGAATGTCCATTTGATAGGCGCACAAAGGCTGCCGGTCAGGCACTTGGTAACCGAGCCAGGCGTTGCTTCTCATGGTGGGATCATAAAATGTGATCCGATGGTAGAAGTCTGTTTACTGCCTGAGGAAAAGCCAGTTGTAGAGAGCTACACCCAGTTTGGGATTCAGGATCCAAAGTTTGATGAACATTTTGCGTTTAAGCTCTCTTCCTCTGAATTGAACAACAAAACTTTGAGGTTTACTGTTTATGACCATAAAAGGCGACACAAACTTACGCCGATAGGTCACGTGTTGTACTCCTTAAAAGGACTGGGAAAAGCTGGGGCCCTAGAAGAAAAGATCGTCGAAAGAAATCTGAAGCTCAACTCACAGGTAAAATTAAAAGCCACGATGAAATCTCGGTTGTCTCAGTGTTGTAGTTACTGTTTACCTTTGTCATCGCTATCCCAATCCCGCGCCTGTGCCCAAATTTTGGCGAATCCCACTTCCCGGGTAGCAATCAAATCCCGTATCCCGTTAACGTCTGCCGAATCCCACACTGTATTTTGATCAAATCCCGGGTCCCGGGAGCTCCCAACATAAACTGCGGCACCGTTGTTTTCATCTTTGATTTCCGCCGGCTTTCAGGGTCAGTCTTCTGTACTACTACCACCACTAGTGCTGCTACTCTACTACTACTACTACTACTACTACTACTACTACTGCTACTACTACTACTACTACTACTACTACTACTACTACTACTACTACTACTACCACTACCACTACCACTACCACTACCACTACTACCACTACCACTAACACTACCACTACCACTGCCGCTGCCGCTGCTGCTGCTGCTGCTGCTACTGCTACCGCCGCCGGCTTTCAGGGTCAGTCTTCTTTACTACTACCACTACTACTGCTGCTACTCTACTACTACTACTACTATTACTACTACTACTACTACCACTACCACTACCACTACCACTACCACTACCACTGCCACTGCCACTGCCACTGCCACTGCCACTGCCACTGCCACTGCCACTGCCACTGCCGCTGCCGCTGCCGCTGCTGCTGCTGCTGTTGCTGCGGCTGCTACTGCTACTGCTACGACGAGGACGACGACGACTACGACGACTACGACGACTAATAATAATAATAATAATAAATTTATCTCAGCTGGCTGAGCGGGCAAACCAGTTGGCTTTTTACAAGCTTGGTCTAGGATTTGTACTCGCGACCTCCGTTTTCTGAATTGCAAGTCCTGCGTTCCAATCGCTCAGCCACGCTGCCTCCTCTAACTTTGCTCACACTTGCTGTAAGAATAGTTAATTAATTTGTTTTCCCAGTTTCTGCTCTTCATAACTCTGCTTACACTTACTCAGCATGGTTTTTGTTTTCTCTTCGTTAGCCTTACGGTCACACACGTGGTGAGATACTAGTGTCGCTAAACTACAACCCAGGATTTAACACCATCACAATAGGAATCGCCAAAGCTAAAGATCTCTTGAACTTTGATGGCCAAACATGTAGAGGTTAGTGATCGTTTTATGACCGTCTATTTCACTAAAAGAAAGATGTACTGAGAAAATATAGATTTTCAGTTAGTCGAGCAGAAATACCGGAACTGCTTGAATAAAAGACATACAGTATAGCGGGAGAAGTATTCAACATGTAAATAACTGTCCTTCTTGACTGAATAGTAATATATTTATTTACACTTTATGTCCATTAACTTGAAAATTCATCATTGCTGAAAATTTATTTCCATGGGCTGAATTCACTTTTATCAGTCACTGCGTCAACACCAGGGTCGATTGATCCACCCCTAATGAGAACTATTAAGTTTTTGAGCTCTAGTTTTCCCTCTAAAGTTCTCATGACATCAAAACAGTTTTTAAAATACTTTTCGCTCGTTTTCACAATGATGTGCATTTCAAAATCTAGACTCTTGAAAATGTCATTTTTTGTAGAATACTTCGTGAAAGTCACAGAAGTTTGCTCAGGAAACAAAGTCAAAACAAAACGTACACCTGCAACAGACGGTGAAAGAAACCCAGTCTTCAACACTACACTGTATTTCCAAGTCTCTCTTCAACAGCTCAGACACACGAGCCTGGTGCTGACCCTCGTCGGTCGTGGAAAAATGAGGAGTAAGAGTACAGTAGGCCGCGCCATCCTGGGACCCAGTATCTATGCGTCTGATAGCGAAAGAAATCACTGGGGTCGAATGATCATGTCACCTATGAAAACTGTTGAGCAGTGGCATGCGTTATATTTATAATTATGGGTTCGGATTATTCGTGAACATTTCATTCCCTTTCTTACATTTTCATCACACTGGCCAGGAGCCCACTGACGACCAGGAGCGGACAACTCCCTTGTTCCTAAGCAACGGCGTTTTCACAGACCAGTTTAGCTTTAGAAAGATTTTCCCGCGAATTTTGAATATTCGTATATGGAACGGTGTTTTCATTTTCGCGGGAAAAAGTGTTCAAAAATTATGCTAAAAATAACTTTATCTGTAAAACGCGGTTGCATAGATTAAGGATGGGAGTTGTACGCTCGTGGTTGTGGGTTCCTGACACTGGCTAATTTCATTTATCAAGCCTCTTTTTGACGGACTCTATATATCTTTACTCCCTTTATTTGACTCTTAAAAATAAGGACATCTGTCTAGGACGGGCACTTAGAGACGGTACCGAAGGTTCAAAAGGTGTTCGTCTTAGAGAGAGAGTCAACAGCATAACATGCGAAGTTTAACAATGAAAAAATACCAGGGGCGTAGCCAGCCCATAGACCTGTAGGCCCGGGCCTACAAATTTTTGGTTTGATCACTCTACTGCTTGTAATAAATTATGCGTTGTTGGGGTGAGCGAAAAAGCTTAAGAGCTCAAAGTATTGGTGAGGTCAGTACGTACTAGTCACGTGTGCAGTTTTCAGGAAATGTGGAAATGAAAGTCAGCCAGGCCTACAACTAGTCGAAAAGCTGGCTACGCCCCTGATAAAAAGAAATTAGAAAAAAATAATTAAAAAGAATTAGCCATTACAAAGGTTGCGTTTGAGACAGGGCTGCGTTGAATTGACTATCTTGGGGGATGAATTTGAAAAACCTCGAAATTGCTAATCAAAGAAGTGATAGGGCAATAAAACAGTCTCATACATGTACAGGCGCGGATCTAGGGGGATGGTGCAGGGTGTGCGCACCCTTCCCCCACACCCTCTGAGATGACGTGCGGTTTTCTAATATAACTGGTATTCTGCCAAAAAAAAAAACTATGTGGTTTATTGGTGTTGAAGTAGAGCAAGAGACGAGTGCACCCCCTCCTAAAAAAATCCTGGATCCGCCCCTGATGTATGCAAATGGCACAACACTGACCTACAGGCGGCTTGTACATGTACTCATTTCCTGAAGACTGAAGGAGTCATGACTAGGGTATCGACTGATCATGATATGATTAGAAAGACTTTTTAACTGCAATTTCTTTCTTTTGAACTGCGATTTCACATAGTGGATGAAAAATTGCATTCTCTGCAGATCGATGCAGACTGAAATACGAGTTATAAGCAAAATTCATCCCACATTACAACAGGCACGTTTTTCAGCTCACGAGTTTCTTCAAAATGATATGTTCAAAAATGCATTAAATATCTTCTCTAATTTTGTCACTGCAACAATGAAAATGTCCATTTTTATCATTATTATTTTTTTCCATCCTCGGCCGGCTGCCTTTTTATATGGCCAAAAATACAGACTGGTTACGGAGAGTTTAGGTTTTCGGTTATAGGTTAGAAAGTGGAGGTCAGAAGTGCTGGGGGACTTTATTTGATATCAGTAAAACTATCAACTCTCTTCTCCCGACCAAAAAAATGTTGAATTTTTAGCAAGATGGATACGTAGAAGGGATTTGCTAGCACAGATTGCTTGGTCAAGTTATATAAACCGAAGTCGAGTCAATGTTTACTATTACAATTACATTCAGAGAAGAGACGTATGTGAAGAGATTTCCTGGAGCAGCTCAAGTTTCTTTTGACCTCCACTATAGCTCGCCTCTGTATGCACGCATTACCATTTTACCAAGGAAAAAGGGGAATCTCATTGACAGGGCTTTTATAACGGTTGCTCATTTAATACTTAGGGACCAGTTGTACAGCATTGATATGAAATCTTATTTCACTGAACGGTAAATGCCATTTTCACTAAAATGGAAATTGTACATATTCTAAAAAACACAAATACATGTTATTTTTATCATTTAGTTTTGTTTTATCTTTTAGTTTCCACGAAATTGTGAAATACAAATGGGTGAGGTCGTGAAGGTTGATGGTGGTCGGGAGGAGGCTTGGAGAGTAGTTGTTATATTATTATTATTTATTATTTATTTTTTTAACCTTTACATTCACTGTGGAGTTTCATGTATGTTATTGCATAGCCTACTAAGCTAAATAACTTTAATCCTCATCTCACGTTATCACTGCAGGGCCTTAGCTATAATAAGACGAACCAATTAACTTGTGTGTGCCGAAGAGGCTGTGGATTTTTTTTTTAAAGTAGCTATGAAAGAAAGTGCTAAGTTTTTGTTTCCTGATCATCGAATGTTGCCTTGGTAGGTATTTTGGTCTGGCTAGGCCTTGCTTGAGTGGCTGCATGTTTTTGCTGGCTAGCAGGGCTCCATCTAAGTTTTAAATCAACGGTGACGCTTTGCTGAGAGAGAGAGCTTCAGCAACTTCGACGGTGATGGCAGCGAAAACGTCATTTTAAAAGAGAATTCTTGTTGTTTTAATCTTCAACGCTGCTATTCCACCTCAGTCTTTCATCCAAGTTAAAAAAAAAAGAAAATAACGAAAAAATCCTCGCCGTCTTGTATTTAGGTCCTAAGCCGCGAAACTTGAAAGTTGGAGGTTGAGTTTGGAAGTCGTGAGTGTGTTGTAACCACAAGGGAATGTACCAAAATGAATGATACACTTACTGAATTGTTGTTTTGCTTATGAAACCTCTCGCTTTTTGACGTTTACGTTCTCTTGCCTTGACGGCGTTTAGGAAGCTCACTTTTATTAATGTATGTATTATATGTCTGAATATTGTAAGATCGTACTTATTAACGTGTCAGTGTAATCGAAAAAAATTATAATAAAGAAGGCAATACAAATAGCTGCTTTTCACGTTAAATATGTATTGAGAGGTATCTACAAAATCAAAAATTTAACGGTGAGAGAACACTGTTGGTGACTCGGACATGCGCGGACACTTCATCCTTATTTCAGCAGAAGTTTCTCTAACGAAGAACGAGTGAGCCACTTTTACAGTGCTACCGCTAATGTCAAGGAAATCTTGAATTATTTCCGCTCTAAAATCTCGTTAACATTACTTGGTCTCCACGGGATGATTAAAAAACAACACTCGAGCCAAACACAGCGGGTTCGCATTTTTAATAACAAGCAAACATCATGAAAATTTCCTTGACTTCTTATTGGCTGATTAAACGCATTTGTCGTGCAATAAATACGACTGTCAAGCTGTCATATCCTCTTATTAAAGATGAAACGTTCACCAGAAAAGGTTTTCTTCTGCCTCTAAAGAGGTAAGTTAAAGGCTTGTAGAATACCGTCTAATTACGTAAGCCAAGTTTATATGGAGTCTACTTACAGACTGTGATATCACACTTAGGACCTTGCTTTAGCATTTTCACGAAAGTCAGGTTTAGCGACATTTAGTCTTTATTGACAAAGAGCGCTTTATCACGCGAAAAAAAAGATGTGGAGAATCATGTTCTCTAAACAGCAAGAGTAAGGAAATAAAAAGCATGTGTAATTTGCTATGCAAAGAACCACGTACAGATAGGCAAGAGTTAACTACAGCAAGAGTGAAGTCCACTTCATAAACCCTTTGTTAGAATTGTCGTCAGTGTGAAATGTTGCGTTAAAGACATATGAATTAAACCCTTTAGTGACGGCCAGAAAGTAGCGAAAAAAACCGCGTTTTTCACCAATTCCTTTTTCTTGGTCTGGTTCTCGGCTTATTGGCATGGGAATGGCTTAAAATGAGTTTTGCAGCAGTAAGGGCATATCTTCCGACTAATCGGATGTAATTAAGCAGCGTTTTTTTGTTTTTCACGCATGCTCATAAGCCAATATTTGGAATTTCTCTTTTATTTATTTACTTTTTTTGCGAATCTATTCGATCTTTCTTTCTCGCTCTCATTTTCTCCTTTGCCTTTCCTTTCCATATGCTTCAGTTGTTACCCGCTTTATCGTCTTAGTCTTTTGCATGGAATTGTGGCTAGCTAACTTTTTCGGAAAGGAGCAAATTTAAACTGCAAAGAGTAGTAGGTAAACAGCAAAATTACTAATGGATTTTTCCCCAAAATATTACTGGTTATTTGTATGTAACCCTGTCAGGATTGATCAGAATATCCAAAACGAAGTATTGGTGGAAAGATCTATTTTTGCTGACATTGTTGCTCACCAACTTATTAGCTTGGACTGAAAGCTAAATGGGTCCAGGAAGGAAAATATGCATCGTCCCATGTAGAATGAAAACGACCAAAGGGTAAATTTGTCTGAATAAAGTTCAAGAAATCTCCTGTAGGCCAAACGTTTATGGTATACCTTTGTTGCTATAACAACCAACAAGAGTTAACCAGCGAAAGGGAGATCCACTTCATTATCCTTGAAGTAGAATTGTCGTCAGTGTGAATTTGCTGCCGTTAAAGAAATATACATCTAATTTGCCTGAATAAAATTCAATAGAACCCCTGAATGGGCCAAAATCACTGTGACATGCTTTTTCAGTTACTACTACAACAATCATGCAGGAGTCGAAGTCACTTGCTACATTCTCACCAAACTCCCCACTTGCCTCGCCTGCCTCTGCGCGTTTTCTTGTTTTCACATATGACACATGTCGCTCGCCGCTATAAAATATTCGCTTATTATGACTTTTACGAGTGATGAGAAGTTTTCTTTGCTAGCTGGCTTATAACAAGAAACAATCATTGGCAGTATTCTTAAAGGTTTCGTCTCGACTAAAATTGAGATCCGATATTAGGTTTCAAGATGTTCTTTTACGGATAAGGAAACACATATACAAGTTTTTAAAACGATTATGCGCAAGTTAAGAAAAAGATATATTTAAGTTTCAAAATTCTAAACTTAGAAAATATATTCACCATTCTAATTCTTTACGGCGTAAATTTGAAGAAGATAAGGACGTGCAATACTGATAATCTTTTTTCTAAGAAAGTAAAACTAATTCTGATTGTCGAAATTAAAAAACTTGATTTAAATCTGGGGCAAGTTTAAGACCAAAACAAGAGTGCAAGGGTTCCTCTGCCGGTGCAAAGAATGAACTTGATGAGAACAGTTCGACAGTATTTCGGCAGCGTTTTAACTTTTACACTATAAAGCAAAATTTTATTAAATTCTGAAACATTTTTTAACCAAATAGGAGTTTAATTTGACAAGCAGTTGGAAATGAGAGAAACTGTTGATTAAAAGATAGTAAGTTTTATGAACTGATCGAATAAATATTCAAAGAGAGTTGAACCAGCTGCAACGTGGAAACTGAGATAAATTTAAATTGCAGATTGGTTTGAATGTAATTATATGCCTAACAATCGATTCACTGAGAGCCTTTTTTATTGTCCGAGACATCGAGCCAAGCGTGTCATAACTTGAACGTAAACTGCTCCATGTTAACTAGGAAAGATTTTCTCGACCCTTCTCACAAGAATGGTGAGAAGATTCTATGAGAATCGAAACCTTTCTGATAACTCAACCACCTTTGATACGGCTTCTGAAACACACCGCTCTTCGACAGCTAAATGTAAGTATTAATTCTTTACGACCGTATACATTATACAAAGTGAATTATGTTTTTCTTCCTGATACCTAAGTTATGTCTACCATTGCGGAGATTAAGTGATAAAAATACGGCCAAGAGCTAGTTTATGCTGGGCCAACAAGAAACAAACGCATATATACAGTCTACCCAAATACAATTTATTACAAATTTAAGACAAACTTTTCGGCTCTAAATTCACCGAGATTCCCCATTTATTTACATCGATATTTTAAGGTCTACCTAAAAGCAGCCTCGAGCATGACAAAAATTTTCATCCGCCTTCTTTCAGATTCACAAGTAAAAAGACAAACGAAGAGAACTCTCCTCATTTTCGCTGAAATTGCTTCACGCTTTTTCTCTTTACTTTTGCTTTCCCACAGCTGATGGAGAGCGTTTAAATAAAAAACATCGTAATTTATTCACCAGTAGGAGAAAATAAATATGACAGTTTTCAGTTACTATCAGCTTTTTATAACTTCTCAATCGCTCGCTTATTTTATTCCAGTTTATAGCTGGGTGAAAAAATGTCGATAAATATATACTCTAGATATTTAACTTATGCTCAGTCAAATCATCAGAAGGTAATTCTAGGTTAACTAAAACATATGTAACAATTCAATTTTTATAATATGAACTTTTCGTGAATGAAGTTCAAATCTTTTTGCGATTAATTACACTCCGCCATAGACTCAGTTATAAACAATTCAATTATTCGCCAAGAGTTTATCTGTCGAGAAGAAAAATGAATCTTTCATATATGCACTTTTATGACCTTACTGAGGCTGAATTAATCAACCCAACTTGAGTTTAATTCGAATAAAGTAGCGTGGATGTGAATTAGGAAGTCAGATTAAGTTACATTTGCTTTTGCTGTTTGTCTCAGTGATTTATGACAAATAGACGGGCTTTTCTAAAAGCTGTTTTCTTTCGTTAACCACAATTGAGCCAAAACATCTAATTATACAACGATCGCTTGACGTTTGCAGCAGTCAAAATGTCTTGAAAAATAGATAATTATTCTTTTTAGCACTAGTATATTTACTTTCCATTTTCGCGTAGTTTGGCCAGAAGTCATGATAATCGGTCATTTATGAAACAATCCTCTAAACGGCATTTAATAATATACTATCCTTTATAACGTTTGCTGTGAAATAGATAATTCAGAACTCTCATCTATTTCTTCTTCTTCATTTTTCCTTTATTTTTTCTTCTTCGGAGACACATTAGAAACTAAACCCGATCTCTCGAAATCAAATCCCCCAGCTTCCGTTCACCAGTCGGTCAATCACAGTAAGGCAAGAGAGGACCTTAAAAGCTTTACCCCCGATATTTGCTTTTCCTAAAAGGTTGTTGGAAAAATCAGGTCGGAAAACATGCATCGAAATCCACTCAGTCCATGTACTCTCTTAATTCTAGGCCGCTTTAATTACTAAAGCCAGTATTACTCCAGCAAAACTCTCTAAAAGAAATACAAAGGAAACTGGAACAGACACACTAATAATCCTGTTTTAATTCGACTGGTGGGCCTTTAGTACAACAGCTCTACTTCAATTTCTCGATTTAGTTGCTTTTGAAATTTATTGAGTTTCTTTTAACATTTTAAAATGCAATTTTTTTTTCTCACTGTCGATTCAACTTCTAAGTTTTGTAGCCAACTGGGAAGTGCAGATGTAATCTTATTAAGACTTCTAAAATATGGTGATGTTTAACCAACGTTAGAGAAAGAGTAGAGGAAAAGGGTAAAACAAGACTGAACAAACATATCATATGGTGCACGCATACAAACGTACTGCTTCCCTTTCTTTGTATTCGATTGTATCCTTGGCTCACGACAATAATACCAAGAACGTACAAATCTACATGTATCCTTTCTCTGCCTCGATATTAAAAGCATAGTGGAGTATTTAGGAGGCCTATTCCGCAGTCAAAAGCCTTGTTTTTCGTCAAGAGAGACTCTTGTTTTCGTATTTTACAGGGGCGGATCCAGGATTTTTTTAGGAGGGGGTGCACTCGTCTCTTGCTCCACTTCAACACCAATAAACCACATAGTTTTTTTTTTTTGCAGAATACCAGTTGTATTAGAAAACAGCAGGTCATCTCAGAGGGGGGAGGGGGCTGCGCACACCCCTGCACCCTCCCCCTAGATCCGCCCCTGTGTTAAGTTTCAGCAGGTTTTTCTTTTAGCATTCTCCTCGCCGAGATTTCATTCCCTCTAAAAATGCCTTTGTTGCTGATTAAAGTTCTTGGCACAAAAATCGAAGTTAACTTTGGGAATTTTTTAAAGATTTTTTTTAATGATTTGCCAAACAAACAATGGTTGCGTCGTGCAGGAGTATTTTCCTTCTCCTCTGCCCCCTCCCCTCAGTCCTATATTAGGGAGTTTAAGATACCACGACGGCGACGGCGGCAAAAAATATCGCTTAAAAAGTGACTCCTCCATCTATGAAACGTTAGTGCGATTTTCCCAACTCGGTCACTATGTTTTATGTAAGCGAACTCTCCTAGAGTTGAATTCTTAAGAAAAATATCCAGGTATACAAAGAGTAAGAGAGATTCGTCGTCGTATGTTCACGTTGTCGATAAAACGTGAAATTAGGCAATTCACGTCGTAGTCGTGCAGTGACGGCAAAGAAATGTACAAAAACGCGTGATGCACATGCAGAGTTGTTGTTTTGCTAATCTTAACCGATTGCTTTTTGACGTTCTCGTTGCCGTCGCCGTAGGGGCATCGTAAACTCCCTAATATAACGTACCCGTCGTCCTCTCCCTTAAAATTAGTCCTTTGCTCGCCCTAACTGTCTAATGAGAAAAACTTGAGACAGTGGCCGGTTTGAAAAAATATATATTTTCTCTGCCTTCCTGTACATCAATAAAACACTGACTTCTCTTATTAATTACCTCTTGAACTGTTTGGTTCTTTGGTTCAAAAACGGAAGCTGTAGGCCATTTAGCCTAACTTGAATCCACACCCCTTTCCCGCTGGGGCAGTGTTTTCACGGCGACGCTTTGCAGTTTTCCTGCCACAATTTTCACATCACAAATCATACTTGACTCATCTGACACCTTGATCTTTTCAGTTGGCAGTGAATGTGGGCGAAAGGCAATTTGAACCGGCTGTTTGATAAGCCGTTCCTGATCTCCACTAACTATGCCCTATACTCTACAAAACGGATATGAGATACCCAGACTTGCTCCTTGCTTTTTTTCTTCATTCCTTTTTTTTAGATTTTAACGTAATATAAGGCGGATACCTCTCTAAGGCGGACCACTCCTCGTCCACCTTAGGGCTGAACAGGCAACAACAAGACAGAGTTGACTGCTCCACAAGAAAATCGTTTAAACTGTCACGTTGCCTTGATCACTGTTTCTTTTTCGAATCAGTTTATAAATTGAACACTTTAAGAACCTTAAACATCAGGACCCAGTTGTTCGAAGGCCGATTAGCGCTAACCCAGGGTTAAATTTTAACCTGGGTTTCTTTTTCTTTTGTTCAAAAGCATTTTCCCGGATAATTTTCTCTATTCTTTTTAGAGCATCCAGTCATCAAATTGTAGGCAAAAAGAATAAAACTGAATTTGCTTTTTAAGCTTTCATATCTGAATTCAAATTTCGCACTAACCCTGGGTTATCTTAACCCTGTTTTGAACAACCCGGCCCAGAGTGCCTATTCCCTACACTGAGAGAAGTTGTTTAAACATCGCGGCTACGTTTTAAACTTGGTGATTTCCGTAAAATCCTCTATTAAGCTCCCTCCCTCTAATAAGCAACCCCCCCACCTTTTCAGGGGAAGAGGGTAACAGAGGATTTACGGTATTCGCTTAAAATTCTTATGATCTTTGTATTTGGTTTAGCAGTTACATTATACACACTCTCTCCCCCGGCTTTTCACTTTTATACTTTAAAGGATTAGATTTGAAGGGTGGATACTATCTTCCTTCCGGATTAATGCTTAAGTTAAGTTTATTATCTTTCTATGGAGTTTCATTTCCGGTTAGATACCGATAAAATTTTCTATTTCGTTTTCCACAGTTCCTGTCTTGCCAGTGGCGCTAACAGTAGGTCTTGGTTTACTATCAGTTATTTTGCTCGTCACTATATTCCTAATCAGAAAACGACGCAAGGCTGATAAATACAAACAGTATTCCCAAATAGCCAAAACCGCTGTCCAACCGCCACAATTCGCCGTCCGATCAATCCAGCAACGTTTAGGGACGACAAATAAGTCACGTTTCAACAGTCATACAGCATCAAGTAAAGTAACTTCTTCAGAGGAATCGCTATCACCCATGTCAAGCGCCGAGGACATGTTCTTTGATGCTCAAGAAGGGCTGGAAAGTCGAACATCACGTTCGGTTTCCAGTCGTGAGCCGAGCCCAGCACCCGAAGAAAAGGACAGCGAAGAAAATGAAATTTACCCCTTGGAGAACATTGGGCGAATTTGGTTCAATCTCGAATATGACGCGTCCGCTGAGAGTTTAGCGGTAACTGTGGTTAAGGCAAGAAATCTTTCGTGCCGCGATAAAGCCGTGAAAACGTGCGACCCATTTGTTAAACTGCATATTTTGTGCCCTGAAGAGAAGAATGTGGCACAGAGTAAATGCAAAAGAAAAACTCGTCGACCAAACTTTGATGAAATGTTCTATTTTAATCTTCCTCTTTCGGAGCTTCAGAGGTGTACACTTCGTTTATCAGTATATGACGGGTATAGAGCGAGCCAACAATATATTGTTGGGGAAGTGTTGTTTCCGTTGATTGAGTTGGATAGAAACAAAAAAATGCAGCTGTGGAGAGATCTACAAGCCACAGAGGAGGTAAGGCAATTCGCGTCAAAACATTTTAATCTCTTCTTACGACCTTATCACTGATATAAATTTTAATCTCCGAATAGCATAAAAAAGACCAATGCGTTGGCAATGGGGAGGCTCTTATACCAGAACAAAAAGGTCATTTCCCAACAATTTAATACATAATTTTACACTATTTTGTACCCACATCAAATTACATTTCGTCAATCCTATAATGTAATAGTGGTATTTTCTGGACCCTGTAATGATCTGTAATAATAGCTGTGGTCACACTACAGACTTTTACCGAGGTAAAACCGATTTACCTAGGGCAAATTCATTAAAAATTTCCCGAGGTAAATTCATCTAAATTTATCTAGTCTTTACTAAACATGCAATGGTTGTTTGACTAACCAAGGGAAGTCCATTGAACGCTATCACTTTCTGACATCTGTTTGAAATGTTCTTGACCTCAAAATTCTGCACATTTCCAGTATGCTTGAAATTGTTGTGTACATTACAAAATATCTGTTGTTCACCGTTACTCAAATTCATGTTTCATTGGCCTACAATCAACTAGCCGGGCTATCTTGATCAACGAATTTGTTTAGACTCTTAACCATTCCATTCAGACAAAGTAAACCACAAGTGTTTATACGATGTCGTTCAAACAGAGACGATTGTTTGAAACCGATAAGGTATAATGACATAAGCTCTAATTATATTAACGTGTTGAAAAGGGCAAGGCGTTCCCTGTCAGTATAATAAGCTAAAAACACTCCCAGAAAACTCAGGACGAGACGACAGTACACGTAGTATTTCCTTTTCTAACCTTTTCTCACGGGTTTGCTTTGGCATGAAACTCTTCGAAACCAATACTAAGGGAAGGAAAACATGCCGTTATTGGTCAATTTCAAGGCGGCAACATAAATAGATGGAGTGGGAAGCGGTCTTGCGCATGAAGGCGGATCTTCCGTAAAAGATCCCTGATTATTTTGGGCGATCATCTAGAAAGAACGGGAATTTCTGCACCTCTTTTTAGTTCTACATTTATCTATGTTCACTTTTTTGTTTTCCCCATCTTGTTTTTATACTTAATTTTCATTTCATTTAATTTGATTATTGTTATGTTTGCTTTCTGTGATTGAAATAGAATCAGTCTGAACTTGGCGAGATCCACCTCTCAATGTCATACTACCCCACCCTGGACAGGCTTACAATTATCGTTCTCAGAGCAGCAAATCTTAAGAAAATGGAGCCTCATGGTACAGGTGACGACACAAGCTTCATTTGTGGGTGGGGAAAGCAGTTTATGAGAATACCATAGTATACTATTAAGGGCCGTTTAGGGTAGTAATCTTATGTAAACCTCACTTTTGTTCTTGCGAGTGCTTTGCTACGGTACTTTGTATACCCTGCTTCGGCCCCGTTTTTCTTGGCTTCCTCCTTTTAACGCTTTTTCGATTGCGAAATACTAAGCATTTTTGCGTATTTTTCCCATTTTTCGCCTTTCTCACCCCACCCTCCTAGAACTCACATCTCCCGCCTGGCTTTCTTCCAGGAGCTTTCTTCTCCCTTTCTCAGGCTGCCCCTCTTGGCCCATATTAGGGAGCTTTAGCAACGACGACGGCGACGGCAACCAGGACGTCAAAAAAGCAGTAGGTTTATTACGCAAAATAACAACGGACTTTGCACGTGCATCACGCTTTTTTGTACATTTCTTTACCGTCCTTGCACGACTACGACGTGAAAATGCCTAATTTCAATTTTTATGGAGGACGTAAACAAGCGACGACGAATCTCTTTTTCTCTCTCTAAACTTGAGTGCGGTCCTCCAGAAATCAACTCCAGGGAAATTCGCCTACACTTGCCATTTTCAGCAAACTGGAATAATCGCGACAAAGATCGAAAAAACGGGAATTCATTTTAAAACTAACGTTTTCGCTACCGTTGCCGTAGTCGAGCTCCCTCTTAAGATCCGAGGACGGCGACGGCAGAAAAAACGTCGCTGAAAAAGTGAATTCGTGTTCTTTCAATCTTCATCGTGATTACTCCAAGTCACTAACTTTTTCAAATGTAGGCGAACCCTCCTAAAGTTGAATTCCTAAGAACTATATCCAAGTTCAGAAAGAGAGGGGAAATTTCGTCGTCGCTTGTATACTTTCTCTGTACATCGTGAAATTAGGCATTTTCACGCCGTAGTCGTGCAGTGACGTGCGTGATGCACGAGCAAAATTGTTGTCGTCGTCGGATCTTAAGGTCCCTTTTAGGAAGCGAAAACGTCGCTGGGTAGTCAAACTTCGTTACGCTTTTTCCATCTCGTTCATTTCGTCAAATGTTGCCGAATTTTTCGTGAGCTGAACGCTAAAGGAGTGCCGTATCAAAGTTAAGGAAAAGAAAAAGAGGGTCGTTGTCTTGTGTTCATGTCCTCCACAAAACGTGAAATAAGGAAATTTCACGTTGTAGTCTTACAGTGACGGCAAAGAAATGTACAAAAAAGCGTGATGCTTATACAAAGTTGTTGTCTTGCTGTCGACGCTGTTTTAACTCCCTAGCTAATCTCCCGTGCTCTCACCCCCAGGTCCTCCCCCCCACACATGCATGAGCTTCTCAAAAGTCTGCATACCCTGTTACGCAGTTACATACATTGCACTTTCGCTTCTGTTTCTTTCGGTTCAAAGGCCTACCCCCAATTTACTTAAAATTCTTTAATCAGATCACAGGAAAAGCTACGTTCTAATGCAAGTAACCTACTTTAAGTCATAATACGACTGTGCTATTCAACAAAGAAAACCGGAATTATTACTCTTCGGCAAAGCTGAGCTTGCGCAAGGAAGAGTATTATGGCATTTTTCTAAATGGGTTAAGAGATTGACGGGCGCCATAGTTAAGATCAACACGGCTGAAACCAAGAAAGGAATGGCCCACTATCCTCTTTTACTGGAAAGGATGGCTTGATTCTGAAAACCACTAAAATCATCTGAGAAGGAATTCGAAATAGTCTTGTTTACCTGCGTAGCCAAGAGTTTTGAGGGAGCGCTATGAAGGAAAATTATTGTCGAAACTTTGCAAGAATCCCTGTCGCCCTTCCGCCGTTGGCGACTTTTCCCGTTCATGTGCTTTGTTTTAAAAAGCAATAGGCCACATTTTCCTTACCCCTAACCCCTACTCTTAAGAGGTGTGCCTCCGCCCCAACCCCAGGATCGGCGACCAAGCAGTTTGGCCTTAAGGTCTCCTCAGAGGAAGGGCAATAACCCTGTTTTCAGTCTCTGATTATGTGGTTTCTCTTGTTTTTGTTTCAGACTCATACGCTACAGTGACGTTTTCAGTTGGAAACAAGATAATCAAGACAAAGAAGGGCTCAGTACACCACACAACAAGAAATCCTCTCTACAACGAATCTTTCAACTTCACGGCGTCCGGAGATGATCTGGGGACTGGTACTTTATTAGTGTCAATCATGCACTCCAGGGGAGGGGGGAAGGAAGACAAATTGATCGGTAGGGTGCTGCTAGGGGGTATGATGTACGCGAGGGGGACTGAGTGCGAACATTGGACCGAGATGATGACGAATCCACGAAGTATGATAAAATATTGGCACACCTTAACAAGGTAACTGGTGACGGAATTTAACTGAACATGTCAATAGTCAAATACAAATGTAGGACTGGTCAGGCAAATATGCAGGGCAGCATGATTTCCTGTAAACATTAGGATATCTCGTCGATGCAGGAAGGCAAACAGATATATCTTTAAATGTGCTATGTACTTTATTTTTCTTATTTAGATACGTTTTCGCCTAGGAAGTTTCTTTTGAGGTTCTTAATAGTCACACCTAGTGATTGTCTAAGTGCCGAAAGAGGCTAGGCCCTATCTAGTCGAGACGTTATTTGAGAAAGAGAGAGATTTACCCTGTCTAGTCTAAAAATTGTACAAAAATCAGCCCTTTGAGATTATCTAAACCCGTGAACACGAATCAGCGAGTTAAAGGCTGAGGTTTGTTTCCTAACTGATGTCATTAGCTAGCAACACAGTACATGTCTCTGCCACCGGAAAGTTTTAAAGGAATTTCCCAGCGAAACCGCGTCCAAATAGGAGAAAACGTTTAACGGCCTGTTTACATGGAGATGGGGGACCCCAGGTAGGTGAGGTAATATGTGGCGGGTCACCCCATCTATCATGCAAACGTGATCAAATTAAGATGAGAGATTATATGAACAAGCGGGTTACCCCACCTAAGCGGGTTACCTCACCTACCTGGGGTCCCCGACCTCCATGTAAACAGGCCCTTTCAAGTCAGGTAGTCGAGTACTGTGAGTTCCACTGTGTTCTTAGCTTTGCAAATAAGACTGTGATGATGACAGGCTTAGCCTGCGCATTTCCAAAGTAAGCTGTAAATGCTTTGAACATTGGTACCTGCAAGTAACATGCAGAGAGCACCCCTCCCCTACCGGGCCTCCTTTTTAGGATATTAACCCTCATCCCTCACTCCCCTCTTAGAATATGAACAAGTTATGGAAATAATTGCATGTATATTTTTGTGTTCATTGTATTTGTATTTTTATTGCCGAGCTTATGTTAAAAAGTAAAATTTATTTAAACTGAAGTTTTATGCTGGGGTTCTAAGTGAATATACAAGAAGAGAAATAAAAAAACATATTTTCAACTGATATCTGATATTAATAGAACTCCCTTACTACAAAGTGCCATTCCTATCCAGCGTTTGGCAGGGCTATTATGATTATATGGACTTACAAAGATCCTGATACTTAACTACAGTTTCGCGAATTGATGTCCACTTCTCCCCACCCGTTTTTAATCAGAAAGACAGGACATCAATTTATTCCGCTGAGGTAAGCTGAGCAAACCCCTTGAACATTGAATTTTCAGGATATGCGTTCCTAAAAACGTGAAAATATCGAACCCACTGTTTCGAGTTTTGGTCCACTTGCCAGTTCCGACCCACGTTTAAAAGTACTGACTCCCAAGACAGTAATCGGTTTTGTAGGCCAGAAGGAGCCCATCCAAACTTGATGAACAAATAAATTGGTGAAAATGGAGAGAACGGATGTTTTATGAGTCAAGTGAGTCAATGAGTCAATGAGTCAGATCTCAAAAAATAACATTTTTGGTAGAAACAATAAAATCAAGCATTAATTTTATTATTTTGTCTACTTGCTTCATTGCTGCCTGCACGTGCAAGACCTATTTCTGACATGAAATTTCAACCCCTGCTATTTGTTAGCAGTATTCCAGGCCGTTCCGCTACTATTACGTGCATGGCCAGGAGAATAGCCTTCCCAGCGAGGCTCCAAGAACCATTCAAACCATCAGATCAGACAACCATATTACTAGATGTT